CTCATCCCAAATTATTAGCCTACACATTTTCAATAAAGTTCCTAATGCCGATTGCTTGCTAATAGAGCAGTTGACTTCACCTATCATTTCGACCTCCGAGCAATAAAGATGCAGCTACTTCGGACGATGCAGTTGCTACAGCTATGAAATGTCGACATCTGACACCAGCTAAAAGTGTTCTATATAAAAAAGTCTTTCCTATCCCACTCGAACCATCGATAAAAAAAATTCCACTTGATTCATCTTGTACTTTTTCCATAATTATATTATATGCAAATTGTTGTTCTTTATTTAACGTCGCTGCACAACTAAAGTTTCTTTCAATATCCAATTTCGTTGTTTCCTCTACAACCATTCTCATCGATCTTTCATCGTTGTATATATTTACGTTAAATGACACAATTTCATAATCATTATATTTTTACCAAGTGATTCTAAAATAGAACTTATATCTTCTAAAGCTCGTACTTCGACAACTTCAGCGGGCATATTTTCATTTACATAATCATCTGTAATATAAGGCTTCAATTTATCCCACAATAACTTAGGATTATTTGGATTGTACATTGTAAGAAGCGTAGTAAAAAGACATCTTAAAGAATAAAACATTTCGTAAATAATAACTTCAGATAAACATTCTTCACAACGAGTATTTCCATTTAATAAATCATAGAGAAGCGCAGCTTTAAGAAATGTATCAACATTTACCCCATTGAGAGTTCTTAAATCATCAAACGATGTTGGACCTCTGATATGATTAAGAAGAAGACGAAGAAAATATCGTTCTCCTTCAGATGGATTTACCAAGACAATTCGTCCTACAACAATTTGCTTCTTTCTAGGTGTCCATGTTTTGTTAGATGCATTCCAAACAAAATGCGTTGGGAAATCTTGATACAAAAGCGTTCGAGCAAATTCATTTATTTTATTTACTCGGAAAAACTCAGTTAACATAGTTTTTCTCGTGCTTTCATTCTCAATAACAGAAGATAAATTGTTCGTATTTTTGTCAGTTACACATTGATGATCTTCAATATGAAATTGTAAAGTACAAACAGCTGGATATATTTTCGATAAATTGAAAGCAAAAATCATCCACATATCTTCAGGTGGAGATATCCATCTAGCAGATTGGTAAGTAGAAACTTCATCAATATCTTTGTCTATGTTATTTTTGCCGATCAAAAAATTCATACGATCATGTCCTTTGTATACATATTTGTATAAATATTTAACAGCTTTAATAGAAGAACATATTTCAACATTGA